TTCGGCTTCCCCGAGCCTTTGGGGCGCCCCTGCAGAGCGCCCCGTGTCTTTCCTGCGATTGCGACGCGAAAAAAAAAACACGACGGCCAAAGAGGGCCCCGAAACGCCCAAAGATCGGCCCAAGACGCCCACTTTGGGCCCAAGACTGTCCAAGACGCGTCCAAGACGCCCTCAGAGACCCCCAAGAGGCCTCCCAAGAAAGCCCCGAGAGGCTACAATTGTTGATTTGCCTGTGTGTTTTTCAAAATGTTTTTGGCACTCTCGCTTTTCCCGCTTCCCACGCTGCACAATGGCCCAAGAGGTTCCCTAGATCGCCCCAGCGCTGCCCGAGAAGCCAGCAAAAAGGCCCAACACGGTCCATGAGGGCTCCGAAACCGCCCAAGAAGCGCCCAAGACGGCCCAAGAGAGCACCAAGACGGCCCCAAGAGAGACCCAGGAGGGCGCCCGAAAATTCAAAAACTGAATTTTCCGCCGCGAGAGGGCCCCAAGAGCCTCGGAGAGAGCCCCATGAGGCCCCAAGAGGCCCCCAAGAGGCCCCAAGGAGCCCCCACGAGGCCCTCAAGAGGCCCCAACAAGATCCCAAGAACCCCAAAACACCCCCAAGAGGCTTCAAAACTGCCTCCCAGAGGGCCCCGAGAGGCGCACCATGAGATCCCAACACAGCGGTCTCCCCCTCTCATTATCCCTTCTGTTCGTCGTCGTCGTCGTCGTCGTCGTCGAGAACCCTAAAACACCCCCAAGAGGTTTCAAAACTGCCTCCCAGAGGGCCCCGAGTGGCGCACCACGAAATCCCAACACAGCGGTCTCCCCCTCTCATTATCCCTTCTTTTTGTCGTCGCCTTCTTCGTCGTCGTCGCTGTCGTATCAAATGGCGCAGCGAGGCCATTTGTCGGTCAAACCGCCGAAGGGCCCAAGAGCTCCCCTTCCTTTTCTTCATTCTCTCCCTCCTCTACCTCCTCCTCCTCCTTCTCCGAATTCCCCGTGATGTTTCACGTTCCGCCCCGCCAAAGGTCTAGCAGAAGCAGCTCTCCTCACTCTCCCAAGTCTCTGCTGCGGATTTCTTCCACGACACCTCGGCTGCGCCCCAGATATCCCCATAATCTGTCCTCTTCATTCTCTTCCCCCTCTTCGTCCTCCTCCTCTTCCTCCTCCTCCTTCTCCTCATCCTCTTCGTGTTCCTCCTCCTCCGCCTCGTCGTCGTTGTCGTCGCCGTGCTCATCTTCGTTGTTTCCCCCCTCGTCCTTCACCCCTCCCCCCTCCTCCTCCGAGAGAGAGGAACCGAGAATGGAGGATCAAGGTTTTCGGATTGTTCGTTCTGGGGGGTTTTCCGGCCTGGGGATTTCCTGCAGTATCTGCGACTCGCCGGAAGCGTTCTGGGGGCGCCGGAAACGTCGCGAACGGCCACCAGTGGCCCGAGTCATGGCCCGAAAACCACGCGGGAGCATCAAGGGAGGAGAAGGAGGGGGGAGGGGGGGGGAGGGCGAGGGGGGAAAAGGGGGGCGATGGGCGAGGAGGAGGGGGATACGGGGGATTGAGGACGCGGCGCCCTTGCCTACCTTGCCGGAGAGGGCCGGCCGAGTCCGAGGAGCCCCTGAGGGATTTCAAAACCTGCGCCGCCTCTTGCACTACCTACGGGCCCCCTGGGCGGCTTGGGAAAAACCGTTCCTAATTCGGGGGGGTTTTCTCACTCTCTGCCGCTCGACTCGCAGAGGGGCCGAGCGGCGCCGTGCCGCGCCGCCAGGGACGGGGATAATGGACAAACAAAAAAAGCGGAGAGGGGGGGGAGGAAGAGGGGGGGGGAACAGGAGGAGGAGGAGGAGGAGGGGGGGGGAGCAGGAAAGGAAAGGGAAAGGAAAAGGAGAAGGAGGAAGAGGAGATAACGGAAAGTAGCCCAATCCGCTTCGCCAGAGATATGCTCGCAACTCCGACCTCAGAAGCGCCTTGCATCGCATCGGCCCCGCCGCTTTCGCTTGAGACATCGTCGCAGCTCTGGGGCCCGAGACACTCTCAGTTGAGGTGTTCCAGCCGCTGTCGCCTGAGACACTCTCGCAAGTCTCACTTCGGAGGTGCCTTGCACCATGGTGGTTCGGCCACTTCCGCGCGCGACTTCTCGCAACTCTAAGTTCAAGGATGCCCTGAGCAGAGGTGTTCAGACCGCTCCTCGTTTGAAACTTCCTCGCGCGGCTGATTTCGGATATGCCCTCCCCTGAGCGGAGGCGTTCAGGACATTTTCACCCGGGACGCCCCCGCAACACTGCCCACGTTTGCCTGAGACCCTCGCGCCTTTCAGTGGCGCGATGATATGAGCAACTGACCAGGCCAATACCGCTTGATATACGCGTGTGTATGCGCACGCATAGTTACACTGACCATTTGCATATACATGTACATATCCATACAAACGTATATATATATATACATACATACATATACATATATATGTACATATGTACCATGCATTCATAGACGCATGTGTGTGCGCATGTACGCACGCTCGCAGTCCGCTAGCGCGCGAATTCCAAAGGACCAAGGTTCATGGCGCGCAGCGCCAATGCAGTCTTATATATATATATATATATATATATATATATATATATATATATATATGTATATATAAACAGCGCCGCCCTCCAATGAAGTGCCACCGCTGTTCGGATTCCCCCCCCAGTAATGCGCCAGTGCGGAGGCTGGCGCAGTGGGACATTTGTCCAAACCGCCGCTGAGCGGCCGCTCAACGTCAACCAGTGGCAAAGCGCGTTGACTTGCGTGTAAGCCCACCGAAGTTTTTTTTTTTTTTTTTTTTTTTTTTTTTTTAAAAAAAAAAAAAAAAAAAAAATGTGTGATGCGGTTGCTTGAAGTGGTTCCGGAGCATCGTTTGTCAGACCGTACTGTTTTAAAACATCGGCTTTTTGCCAGGAGAACATGTTCCGTTTCTGTTGTGTGAATAATTGTTGTCCTAAGAACATGGGAAACCTATACGATTGTCGGGACGGTAGGTCCCCACTCAGCAGCGGTTGGTCGGAGAGAAGCCCCACTGCGGTGCTGTGCCGCGAATGGGCACTCGACTTGTCGCCAGGATTATCGGTCCTCTCGCAGCACCCCCGGTGTGCGCGCGCCACGAAGAGGTGCCAATCAGGCTGCGCACGGGATTTAAAAAAAGAGCCGAAACCGTTTGCACCGTGCGGGGTGCGTGTGGGTCGTAGTGCTACGGCGAACCGCGACGACCAGATGGCGGCCAGATGAGTGGTTTGCGGTGGATGCGGGCGTGGCGAGCCGACGGTCTTCGGGAAGGGAGAGTGGTGGATACCGTCTTCGCGAGGGCGATTGACGGAGCGTGGGCCAAGCACACTTCCATTGGCACGAAGTCCACGCGCGCAGAGCACCAGCCATTGCAGAGTGAGCAAATGCGCAGTCACGATGATCGGGGGGTCTTCGGTGGCATCGAGCTGCGTCCGTCACCGCATTTGCCCACAGCCAAATCCCCTCGTGCTCGGACAGTTCCATGGATGGGGCGGGGGCCGTCAACAAGAGGGCACCGCACCCCCCCTGTCCCTTGACCCTGGCCCACCAGCCGTTCCGTTTTGCGGAGGCTCGAGAGGTTCCAGCGAAGGACGTGGAAGACGCGGCAGATGTGGGAGGGAGGTTGAGGTGAAATTCACAGGAGGAGCTGGAGGGGGCCACGGAAGGGCGAGAAGGACAAGATAGGTTCGTTCGCGCAATACTTGGAATTCACCCCATTTCGTACATCCTTCCCATGTTGCTGATGTGTTCTCTATATCCGCGGGCGCGTGTCTCAGCAGGCCTAGCACTCAACAAAAGTCATCGTGTGATGCGCAACGGGAAAACGGGAATTGTGTACATTGGAGGAGGAGGAAACATATGAGCAAGAGGATGAATTCTAGAAAAAAATATGGAGGGATGAGGAAGAGGACAAACAACATCAGCAGGAGCTGGGGTTGAAACAGTGTGAATTGAATATTCGGATGACCCGGGAAAGGAGGAGGGGAACTAATTGGGCACAACGATGGCAGAGGACTCGGTTCCAGAAAAGTGGCTGGCGCTTGGGCGAGCGCGCCATTCTGAACGACGGGCGCAAGATCCCGATCTTAAAATGAGGCCCGCGCTGCAGCGGGAACACCACCTTGGAAGGGCCGAGAACGTTGCCATCGGAACATCACGGGCAAGACACAAACAATTCGGACCCATCCTGTGTGCAATGAGGCCTTACGTACGCGGATCGGGGCACGCGATTCCCGAGACGCCGTCGCGGGGGAGAGGAGAGTAGTATGCATATGAGTATTTGTATGGTGGGAGGAGTTACAAGCAGAAGGGATTCGCAGCAAAAGCAACAACATCGCGCTTTTTTCAGCAGCAGCAGCAGCAGCAGCAGCAGCAGCCAGAGGAGGACGGACAAGTTCAAAATCAGGAGGAGGAGGAGGAGGAGAGGGAGGAGGAGGAGGAGGAGCAGCAGGAGGAGGAGGAGTAGCAGCAGGAGGAGGAGGAGGGCGATGAGGAGCATTAACAGCCGCACGTGCAGCAGCATGAGAAGCAGCACCAGTATGACTATGCCAAGGAGGTTACGGAAGAGGAGGAGGACCATGAGGAGTGTCTGATGATGACTGGGAGGAAGAGGGGGAGCTATTTACGAGGAGGGGCATGTGGAAGAGACAGACATGAAGGAGGAACATGAGGAGGAGGGGGGGGGAGAAAAGTGGTTGGGATATGGAGGAGGATGAGGAGGCGGAGGAAGGGGAGGAGGGGGAGGAGGAGGGAAAGGATGAGCAGCAACAGGCAGTGGGAGGGCCATTGGACCGGGAGGAGGGGGGAAGAAAAGTGCATTCACCCCCCTCCTCTTCCTCCTCCTCCTCCTCCTCCTCCTCCTCCTTGTGTTACCCCTGCCCGCTATCCTCATGCTGCTCCCTCGACTCTGGACGACGCCGCGTCGTCCCCCCGAACCCCCCCCCCGCAGGGCTGCCCGAGCGCGCGCGCGCGCGTGGCAGGAGCACCGAGACCCCCACGGCGGCGAGCTGTGCGTCTACCGCAGCGAGCGCTTCGTGGCCGAGGGGGACGGGCAGTTCCGGGGCGTGTGGATGTGCGGCGCCAGGACCGCCCCGTGGGCGTCCAGGAATGGTTGGGGGCTCGGGTGATGCGCCATGGGGATGCGACAGACATGGGGGAGTGAAAATCTAGGTGCGCCTGTTGTGCCCCAAAGGGGCCCCATAAGTGTACGACCGGTGCACGTTTCTCCCCCATGCATCACCCTCCCCCCGCCTGAAGCAACGCCCAGGGGTGGGGGCTGTTGCTGCCATGTACTTGTGCCTACGGCCGCCCACACTGGCGCGCTCGGCCTCGCACTGGCTGGCCAATTCGCCTGCCGCCTTTTGCAGCTGCGTGCTGGCACCCTGGCTCCAAACGTCCTTTCCGTCTCTCGTAGCTCGTCGTACTGTGCCTCTTTTGGCCGGGCGTTGCCCCTTCAACCCGCTGCACTCTAGCTGCCCACGCCCGGGAAAGCCGATGGCTGGTTGACCCAAAGCGGATCCCTGTACGCTCTAAGCGGCCTCCCCCGCGCGCGCCCGCCCGTTCGGTGACTTCTCCGCCTCGGCTCTGCGCGCGAGGCCGCGACCGCCACAAATTGTTTGTGTGTGTTGTGTGTGTGTGTGTGCCCAGATCTCCCCCGATGTGATTTCCCCACGATCTAAGTTGGATGATTGTCTTTTCTTTGGACACCCCGCGCAATCCTCACCTCCCCCCGCGGAAGAATCATCCCACTCGCCATCATTGGTATGATTACCATAACCATCCTGAGTTTCTTCTGGCTTCCTTCACGGACTGTCTCACCTCACCGCCTCATCATCTCACACATCCACATTCGCAGCAGTACCATCACCCCATCAACATTCATCGTCAGCTTCAGCATCAACTTCACCAGCATCAGCAGCACCAGCAGCATCGTTATCGTAGCCATCACCGTTCACATGTTTCACATCCCATCCTCCTCCTCCTCCTTGTACTCCTCCTCCTCCTCATCATCATCATCACCATCGTCATCGTCAGCATCACCATCATCACCATCACCAGCACCATCATCACCATCACCACCAGCAGCATCATCATCATCAGCAGCAGCATCATCAGCATCGTCATCACAGTCATCATCTTCATCATACTCATCATCAGCATCATCACCATCACCATCGCCACCCGAATCACCTTCACACATAATACGTGCATGCGCTTTCTCACGCATTCACTCACGTACTCCCGCACCCATCTCCCACGCCCACACACACACACACACACGCGCACACACACGCGCGCGCACACACATACGAACATTACACACGCAGAGACGCTCGTCTTCAGGAGATCCCTGTCGGGTGCCTCGCCCCTGAGTGCGCTGCGGGAAGTCTCGAGTGGGAGGCCTCTCCCTGTGGAAGTCTCGGACGGGAGCTCCCCTTCTCCTATAAGGGCGCCGAAGGGAGGAGCGCTTCCTCTAAGCGTATCCACTGTGACGCACTTCGCGTGCTTCGCCGGGTCGTTCTCCGCGCGTATCCAGTGGAGATAGCAGGGAGAAGGAGTAGGAGGAGGAAGAGCAGCATGAGGAGGAAGAGGAGGAGCAGGAGGAGCATGCAGGACGAGAAGGAGGAGGAGGAGGAGGAGGACACTGAGGAGAAGGACGAGGAGGAGCTGCTCAGCCTTGCGTGCGCTCTCCCTCCCAGCCAAGATGGTTTGGTCGAGCGAGTGCGATGGCGTTGCCGTCCCGTCGGTTTGGAGGCAGTGGCGGAGCACCAGATGACTCCCTTGCGCCACCCGCGGGAATAGTGGCAGATCGGGGCAGGCAGGAAAGTCTTCGAGTTGCGCACACACACGGCCTCCCTGGGTGGTCCCAGCCCCCCGAGCATTGGTGGGAAACGAGCAATGACATCAGCATAAAGACTCGGAAGTCTGCGCGGATTCCTCGCCCCTTCTGGCGGCGCCTCTAGCGCCGCCCCTGGCGCGGTCGGATGAGTCTGTGCGGACCTCCGAGGGTTATGTTAATGTCATTGTTTGTTCCATTTGGGCGCGTAGCCCGGGCGGTCTCAACACCCTGTCATTTTGGCGCGGAGCGCCCTAGTTGCGCCGTCTGAGGCGGCGCCCGCACCCAGGGGTTGGGGAATTGAGACTGCCTTGGCAGGGTCGCCTACGATCCGATTCGATGCGTTTCGATTCGCCGGCCAAGGCTGCGATCGCCATTCGATTCGATTCGGTGTGATTTTGCCGGCTGGGGTTGGATTTGCCAGCATCGGTCAGGGCCAGCCAGAGCCAGGCGCGGCGATCCGATTTCGAGTCGGTTCGTGACGATTCATTAGCGATCCAATCCGTCTCCCATCAGATCCGACTTCGCGATTCGACCCAGCATGTTGCAACCCGGAGGGCATGTTGCAACCCGAAGCCTAACCACCCCCGATCGCTCCCGCCCTCGAAGGGGCTCGACGTACGTATACACCAGGTCGTGGCAAAGAGCCAAGGACTTCGGCGAAGGAGGTCGGCGTACACGGGCTCCAACTTTCTGCAGATTGGGAAGCTGAGGCGTCAATACACCGAGCTCCTTGGCCGACCAGGCGACTCGGTGTATAATTCGATCCTCTCCCCCGCCTCGGGGGAAGGAGAAGCGACACCACCATCACCAGGGGGGTCACCTGCGGCAATGGTCCAGTTCGGGCCAGTTCGGAGGGGGGCTGGTTCGGTTGCAGCGGTTCGGTTTCGGCGCTGGTCCGGTTTCGCCTCGGGACGGTCCGGTTTCGGGCGGTTCGGTTCAGGTGACCGAAAGGCTGGCGAGCCAACGCTTATTACGTTGCTGTTGTTGCATGTTGCAGCTACGGATCGAACCCAGAAACAAAACAGGGGGAGGAGGGGGAGGAATTCTGAGGAAAATCCTGTAGGCCTCGCGCGGCGCATAATAGTTGTATTTTCGAATCCACACGTCTGCTCCGCAAGTTATGGGTCGACGCTCGCGCGGCGATGCTCTGGCGTCAGTCCGACGTAAATCCGACGTAATTCCAACGTAGTCAGACGTGAACCCGACGTGAATCCGACGTGGATCCGACGTGAATCTGGTCTCAAGTTGCCGCGCGAGGCCTCCAAGATTTTCCTCATAAAGGGGGGAGGAGGAGGAGTGGCGGCAGCGGCGGCGGCGACGACAAAGTCCCCGCCGCCGCCCTCCCCGCCCTCCCTCCCCTTTCGAGGCTTCTCTTCCCGTCCTCCCCGCCCTCCCCTCCCCTCCTCGCCTCCCTCGCTTTCCTGCGACGCCGACGACCCGATGGGGGGCCTCGATTTTCCTACGCGTTGACGCTCCCATCGAGTCTCCTCGGGGCTCCCCCACGTCTTCCGAAGATCGCAGCCTCCTCTTGAGTCTCCCTGGGGCTCCCGCGTTTTTTATATAGAAGATGCAGGGGTCTGGGCCCGGGAGGTCTGCACCGGGGGGTTCCGGACTAGGGGGGGGCCGAACCGCATGGAGTCTGGACCAGGGGGGGGGGTCCAGATTGGGGGGTTCAGACTAGGGGGGAGCCGGACCGGGCCCTAGCCTGAAGTCGGGCGCGTCCCTCCACAGGGGGAATGTTCAAACATAGTCAAAAAGTAGCCTGGGGACGATGTTTTTGTTATTTATCCATCATTGTGGGGTATTGTCTAGGTCTTCTAAATTTGTCTTCAAGATCTGCCTGTAGGGGGACATGCCCGACCTAACCCTAGCCTATAAGACGCCCAAAATATAGAAATTAGATTCGGGCTTGTCATGTTGCCCTGAGCAGTTTTCGAGTTCTTCTAAACATTGAGGACTGTGCCCGTGTCTACTTTCATACAAACTGGACCAAGCTGGACCGACAGTTTGAGACATCCCCACATGTTCGTGTCTATTCCGTGTCTGTCTGAGTCTAACATGAAGCGTGCCTGTTTTTGCGAAGCGTACCATATTTTAGTGTCTATTCGTGCCAGTTGTCGCAGTCTTGTAACTACCCATGTCTATCCTGTCGTGTCTATGTTTTGGGACGCGTGTCTTTTCCTCCGCGATCCACCCACATTTGGGAGCCATTGGTTCGCGCGTGTGTTGTTCGCATTTGTATATGCATAGGCGCGCGTGCGCATGCTTCTTTCCTTCTCCATCGCGGTCCTAGGCACTCTCACCGCGCTCACCCCCTGACGTCCCCCTCTCCATTGCAACCATCGGCCCTCCTCGGCACTCCTGCGGATTCTTCCCCACCGCACTCTTCGGCAGTCCTCCCTACTCTGGACTCCTCGTTCTATCTCGCTCGTCGGCGCTTCTCCCGACTCCTCCCGACTCCTCCCCACTCCATCGCACTCTTCGGCGCTCTTCGGCACTCCTCCAGTTTCCTTCCCGCCCAATCGCACTCCTCGGCACTCCTGACTCTTTCCGACCTCCCCACTCAATCTCACCCCTCTGGATTTCTCCCTACTCCATCGCCCGCCTCGGTGCTTCTTCCTACTCCTCAGGATTCTTCCCCGCTCAATCGCACTACTCGGCACTCCACCCCACTCCCCCGACTCATTCTCTCTCCATTGTAATGCTCGGCACTCCTGTGGACTCCTTCCCACTCCACTCCTCGGCTCTCCTCCCTACTCCGGACACCTCCTTCCATCTCATTCGTCGGCATTCCTCCCGATTCCTCCCCACTCTCTCGCACTCCTCGTCAGCCCCCCCAGCTCCTCCAGACTCCAGCCCACTCCATCGCACTCCACGGCGCTCCACGCAACTCCTCCCTACTCCACTGCGCTGCTCGGCTCTCCTCCTGACTCCTCCCCTCTTCATTGTACTCATCCGCACTCATCCGCACTCCTCCAGGCACCCCCGCACTCCATCGCACTCCGCCTCGCTCCTCCAAACTCTTTCCTATATGTTGCTCCTCACTCACATGTGGGCGTGCATGTGCACAGAACTACGCGAATGTTCCCGAACACGCACGTGTGTGTGTGTGTTTTACACACATGCAAACACATCCGTAAGCGTTTGTATGATTCGTTGCCTGTTTACGCGAACCCGTCTTCGGAAATGTGATCGTATGTATGCGTGTCTTCGCGTGTGTATTAATTATTGACGCTCGTGTCTATTCATGATATTTGTTCGTGTCTATGTCTCCATAGATTCGCGTCTAGCTTGAAAACCCTTGCTTCGTGTCCAGTCCGAGTTCTTTCTCGCCTGTGTTTTTTTTACAGCGTGCGCGGCACTTTGGAGTAGACACGATGTTTTGCTAGAAACTGCGGAGCCCCCTCACGGAAAACGCCAAGACGATGGACACCCTCTCTTGTATGCAAGGGGGGGGGGGCCAGGGTCCGAACTGGGGAGTCGGGACGGGGGGGTCTAGGACCAGGGAGTCCAGACCGGGAAGATCCGGTTCGGGGGGCTCTGGGCCGGGGGCCTCGGACCTGGGGGGAGCCGGACTGGGCGGGGGGGGGGGGGGGGGCGGACCCGGGTGCATTTGGATCGGGGGGTCCAGACCGGGAGGTCCTGACCCAGGCGGGCTCCGGGAGCCGAGCGGAGAGCGGCCTCCGGGCCCCTCCCAGCTGCCGATATGTCCGTGTGGAGCTTGTTCTGGGCCCGTGGAGGCCCGGTTGGTGACGGCCCCGCCCCGACGCTTTCCCTCCGTCCTCCTCCTCCTCCTCCTCCTCCTCCTCCTCCTCCTCCTATAGCCGTCGTCAGCGACGCATGCTGTACTTTCATACGGATGGCAACACCATGGACGCCCGAAAAGGCGCCGCATGCTGTATTTTCACATGGTTTGCGGCCCCACGGGCGCCCGAAAAGGCGCCGCATGCTTTATTTTCACATGGTTTGCGGCCCCACGGCCGCCCGAAAGGGCGCCGCATGCTGTATTTTCATAGGCCTGGAGCTTCAGGGGATGGCACCGACCGTGGCGGACCCGACCGTATCCTGGGGGTCGGGTCCCGGGGTCCTGGGGGCAGTCCGGTTCCACCTGGTTGGCCGTTCGGGTCGGTTTCGATCGGCCGGTTCGGATCGAATTGGCCGGTTCAGCCAATTCGGTTCAGTTTCCTTGCTTCAGCGAGGTCCACGATGCTTCCCGAGTCGGGGTGTCTCGAGCAAGAGGGGGGCATCACAACACCAAGGGATTCCCCCTGGTGTCTCTCGGACGGGGCTAAGTAGGACGATGAAACATCCGTTCCATGAGCGTCCCAGAACGCTCTCAGAGCGTTCCAGAACGCTCTGAGAAGGCCGCGGCTCTCGAGACATCTTCAGAGCCGCCGGATCTCAGAGATTCTGGATTTACCCTAACCCGATGTTGTCCTCGTCCTGGCTTCGTCGTATCCCTCCCGCTCCCTGCTCCCTGTTGGCAGTGGTGCCGCTTCCCCTCGGCTCCCGCCCCCCGCCCGCGCAGGACGGGGCGCTTCGCCGCGGCCAGGCGCAAGTCCTCGGAGGAGCCCCGCAAGCGCAAGTCCGCCTGCCGCCGCAAGGCGCGGCGCTGCGCCGCCGCCGCGCCTGGCCGCGGTGGGGATCGGCGACCATGCTCTCGGGGGAAGCGGAAGTCGGGGGTGGACAGAGCCCCCACCCTAGCACGTCGATCAGTGAACTGTCCGTCCTCGGTTCTCGAGTGGGCGCCGCGGCCGTCATTTTCCAGGCTTGCGCCCGCCAGGTTTCGGCCCGAGGTCGTTTTCAATAAACCACGTGTTACTGAGGGGGGATATTGTCCATCCCCGATAAAACTCGAGTACGCCAGAGCTCGGGTTCGCCGACTTTGTGACGAGCGCGTGCTGGAGTTTGACGGTCCAGTTTTTGTACGAGGTTTGCAGCGGGAGTTCGTGCCAAATTTCAGACTGGGTCTCGCTATTTTTCATGATGGCGCCGTCAGGCCAAGCCGAGTCCCCCGCACCCGAGTCTCACGTCTCCCCGAATTTCAGGGGAGGGAGAATCACCCCGAACCCCACAACTGGCATTTGCCGAACGGCCCTGGGCGTTCACTGAACAGCCCTGTCCTGTTCGTTTCTTTCCCCTGGTGCGTTTAAGCGTTTACTAAACGACTTGGCTTGTCGGCGGGGTGCTGAGTACGAGAGTGGTTGCTCTGCCATGTAAAGGGTGTGGTCACGCCAGGGGTGTGGCTTGCGATTTGTGTCGTTGGCAAGTTGCTGTCGTCGGGCCTCCTCGGGGCGCCCCCCGGGGGGGCGGGTCGCAAACCGCACCCTCCGCAAGCCACACCCTTCGGGGTCGCCGAGGGGAGGAGGAAGGTCGGAGGCAGCGTCCGGGCTCGAGGTTCGAAGTTTCGGGCTGGAGGTTCGAAGTTCGAAGGTTATGGCGTTTTCGTCGGGCTCGAGGTTCGAAGTTTCGGGCTCGAGGTTCGAAGTTTCGGGCGTTCTCGTCGGCTCTCGTCGGCTCTCGGCGGCTCTCCGGCCCCGGGGTGCTCTCCAGCAGCTGGGCCTCGCCGAGGGCGTCCCGAGGGCTCTCGCAGCGTGTCGATCGGCTGCCAGAGGCTTGAGTTATGACCCGAAAGCTGGATGACAAGGATCTCCCGCGGGGGCCTCGCCAAGAGGAACCAGATTTCACCCTCAGGAAACATTCCGATCCAGCCGAGCCGATTCGATTTCGAGCTCGCCGGGCCCGATCCGATACCATCTCGTTTTTCCAGCGGTCCGACGCGGCCCGATGCTTGCACGGCGCTGTTGTGCGGCCTGGCGCAGCCGTTCCGATTCCGACTCCGTGCCGATGCAGCCCGACCCGACGCACATTTCGGTTCGATCCGGTGTGTAGCAGATGCGATGAGGTTTCGTCCTGCCCGCATCCACACGCTGTCCTTGCGAATATCCTCAGGAGGTCTGAATCCTGTCGGCCCCCGCCCCCAAAGCTCTTGGCAAGCAGTGGACTCTGAGAATCTCCCAGTTCGCCCTGTCCGTGTCCTTGTCCATTTCGGGTATCTAACATGGTTGCCCCGAGCTGCAACCACGGTTTGTTATGTGTGCGGGTCACCCACGGGGGGGGAGATTTCAGATGTGGTCGTTTGGGCCCATCCCAGCATGATGGCCCACAAGAGCCAGACAACATGAATAAAGCGACGCCAGATGCGTAATAGTTAGACACAAAGTCTTCGGCTGGTGTTCCAGATGTCCCGTGGGGTATCTAACATGGTGGTTCTGATCTAGAACCACGTGTTTTCACGTCTCCAGGCCACCCAGGGCGGTACAAGATCTAACACGGTGGCCCCGAGCTGGAACTATGTGTTTTCACGTGCCCAGGCCATCCAGTGGGGTATCTAACATGGTTGTCCCGAGCTGGAACCGCGTGTTTTCATATGCCCTGGCCACCCAGAGGGGATATCCAAGACGGTTGACCCGAGCTGGAACCACATCTTTTTACGTGTCCAGGCCATCCAGGGGGTATCTACGATGGTGGTCCCGAGCTGGAAACTAGTGTCGTTACCTGTCCAGGCCGCCGGGGGGGGGCTATCTGAGAGGTTGCATCTTGCCTCCTCTGCCTCCTGGCTCTATCCTGCACCTTGCCTCTTCTCCTTTTTCTCCTCTGCCCCGACGCCGCGTGGATTAGGCCGACGCCGAGATCAAGAGCAAACGGTTCTTCAACGATTTGAAGGACGAGTTGCTGATCCTGGACAGGCTCGGCTGGACGGAGAAGAGGTGGAAGGATGCCCCCCCTTTGGGGGGAAGGGGGATGAGGAGGAGGGGGGAAGGAGGTGGGGAGGCAGATGAGGTGGTGGTGGAGGAGGAAGAGGAAGATGGAGGGGAGGACCTCCTCCGCCCTCCCCCATTGCCTGTCTCTCTTCATCTTCCCCCATCCCCATTGTATGTTCGCCCCACGTTTTCATCCGCCCCGGCGTTCACTCTTCTCCTTGCCTTGCCTCGCCTCCACATCAGCCTCTCACCATTGAGCTCCATCCATTTCTCGAACCCCCCCAGCTGCTCATCCACAGCCATCCCCAATTATATTCCCCCCATCCTCCTCAAGCTCATTCTTTCCCTCTGGTTCACAAACCCCTCTCCCCCCAACGCAATGCTTACACATAGCAGAAGCAGGAATCTCAAGACCCAGTCACACATTGACTACATGCTCGTAGACACAGCCCGCCGCAGTAAACTATTTGAAGACTTTGCCACCAATACTCTAGAACTGGGCTCCGATCAACGAGCAGTATGCATGAACACGGCCACCGGCACAAACATTTAAGAAGCGAGGGCAGAGACCACCTCGAACAATTGGTCGTCATTCATCACGCCCACCCGCCGACGACCCGATTTACCAACAGCGCTTGTAGCAGAGGCTCTGCGACCACGACTGCGCTGCCAACACGAACGACAGGTGCACCCACATCAGCGCAGCCCGTGTCTAAGCTCACGAGGACTACCGCGAGCGCGCATGCGTCTCACCCCGACGCCGTATTGAAACGACCTCGCAGCAGACCAGCCATATACGTGAGTTCATCGACCACCGACGTAACACACCACACGACGTCGCAACCAACCCAGCTACATTGATGAAACTTATCCTGAGACAGCTTCGAACCATCTAGCGCGCCCCAGGCAACGCCAAACTAGAGGCCCGTATGAGCCAACCCAAAGGTCTTAAACGAGTCGCCGACGTGAACTCGTCCAAAGGAAACGGCATGATCGCATCACTGACAACCGTAAGCGGCGATGAAGAGATTGACAAGATAATTGTCACCGACGTGTGTGGCCACATATTACGAGGAAGTCGACCAAAAACCGCAGAACGACAACAGAGAGACCAGCACCGCCACAAAGACAGCAGAGTCCAGCATATGACCGTTCACGATAGAAGAGCTTCGCGTGGCCATCACACACATGTAAACGGCAAGCGCAGCGACACCGCGGGGCGGGAATCCCAGCAGAAATGCTCAAAGCGGGGGGCGTCACTATTGAGGAGTATTTGCTGCAGATCTACAACGACATCATCACACCACACCGCCAACCACCCGACCTTTCGGAGAACACGACCTGACAACCTGACGTTTATGTGCAAACCTGACCACCTCAAATGATCGTAACATCAGTTTCCGATTGCAGTCACCCCGCTGCTATCGAATTGATGTCGAGCCTCCTCTTCAACCAGCTACAGGCCTCAATGAACAGTGGGAAACGGACCCCAGTCCCCACAATTGTGGATTTTACTTGTCAGCGTTTTGCATTGATGGCGAATGTGCGTAAGTATAGGTGCCTTGTCGGCGAGGCCACTGTCAGCTGCCGCAGGGGGAGCCCGCGCGCGAGTCAACTGGTGCACAACAAAGCACGGACCAGGCTGGCTTCAGGTGTTGCTGGCGCACAGAAGAACCCGTCAACCACGGCAACCTTTCACGAGTAGTCATACCGGTGGCAACTACCACTTTGGGCAGCAGCAATCGTTTCAATAAGGCGTTCGACTGCGTTGGCCACAGGTAGCTAAGTTGTTGGGAGCTTTCTTGCAGCAGTACGCGCCCGATTCAAGTATTGCAAAGGCCTTACGGCCAGTGCCGCCGACCCTTCAGACGACGACGACGAAGACGAGGAGGAAGACGAAAACGAGGATGAAGATCAGGAGTAGGAGGACGCGGGGGACGCTGTGCAGCAGCAGGAGGAGGAGTTGGTGAGGGAGGAGGATGCGGAGGAGGATGAGAACAGGAAACGGGGGCAGGGGGGAGGACGGGGGGGAATAAACAGCAGGAGGGCGAGGAAAATTGGAGTCGGGGAGACAGGACAAGAGGAGGAGGACGGCGAGGATGGTGACGAGGAGGGGGTTGGGGAAGTGTCAGCATGGGGAGGAAGAGGTACGAGAGGCCTCTGGAGGTGAGTTTTGGAACCTCGTGTGAGCATCATGGGAGCTTCTTGGGGGCTGCTTGGGAGGACCTGGTGTCTTCTTGGTAGCTTCTTGAGGGGCCCGTGGGGCCTTTGGTGAAGCTTTTTGGGGTCTCTTGGGGCCTCCTGGCAGTATCTCGGGGCCGAGGGCTGGGCATGTCGGTTGGGTTCCCTCGTCGGGATAGTCCTTGGAGCCGTCTCGGGGGCCTCTTAGGCCGTCTTGAAGCCGTGTGGGGCCGTGTTCGGGTTTTTTTAGCGGGTTTCGGGAGCCTCTTCGAGGCGTCTTGGGGCGATCTTGGGGGCCTCTTGGGCCTTTTGTGGAGATCGAGATGCGGCCAAGACGAGAATGCCGAAATCCGTAAGAGACCGATGCGAAAATGAATACATTGCCACTTTGGGGACTCTCTTGGGAGTGCTCCTCCATGTGTCTTGGGGCATCTTGCAGGCTTCTGGGTCCGTCTGGAGTTTGTCAAAACGTCTTGGACAGATCGTTCGGCGATTCGGGGTCCTCTTGGAAGGTCTTGGGGGCATCTGGGAGCACTCTTGGCTCGCCTGCGGACTTTCTGGAGGCCAGCCCCCGCTCCCAGGGGGGATGGTATTCTGACCCGGGACACCCCTGCGACCCCGGGCCCTTCCGAAAAGAGGCCTTCTGGTGCGCCGAATGGACTCCGTCGCCTGTCCGGTGTGGTACGTCCTCGCAAATCGGCAAAACAAATGATGGAGCCCATGCAGCGCCGAATGGACTCGAGATTAGAGCCCATCCGGCGACATCTGGCGTCAAACAGAGTCCATCCGGCGAGCCGACAGAGTCCATCCAGCAGCAGTAGAGTGCATCAGGCGCCAAGTTAGAGTCCATCCAGCGGCATTAGAGCCCATCCGGTTGTCAAGATGTCGCGATGTCCGATCCCATTCGGCGGATAGCCAGCTTTGTACGCGCTGCGTGCACGACCCCGCGACCCCTCGACAGAGCGGCGGCTCCACGATCCCGGGCCTCCGCGCCCCCATTGCCACCCCACGCTCCCACGACCCCACCACCCCGCCACCCCACGTCCCCGCGGCCCACGACCCCAAGACTCCACGATCCCGCGGCCCCATGATCCCGCGATCCCCATGGAGACCTTATCCCCAAGGAGCCCTAGTGGTACTTAGGGATCCTGTATGCAAATGTTTAGGAGAACCCTCAGGATCCGTGGGGGTCTTTGGCGGAAACCTAAAAAAAACTTTAACAACCCTTGGGGATCCCTAGCGGATCCCCTGGGGAACCGCACGGACCTTTGGGGATCATCAGCGGACCCCAGGGAAACCTTGGAAATTATCTGTAGTCTTTATCGGACATGGAGGAAACCCGAGGGGTTCTTAAGTGGGTCTTTAGGGGAACCCTAGGGGGCCTTGGCGGATCTCCCCGGCACGCTAGGCATCCTTTCTGGGATCCTTGGCGGATCCGTAGGGAAACCTTAAGGATCTTCGGGGATCATTAGCGGATCCCTAGCGACACCTCAGGATCTTTGGGGTCGGATCCCTGGGGAAACCTTAGGGATCTTTGGGGAGCCTTAGCAGATCACGAGGGAAACCCTATGAATTTCTCGGGATCCGGAGCGGATCCCAAGGGAAAACCTGCAGATTTCTGGAGGGATCCTTGGGGATCCTTGGCGGATCCCTGGGTGAAAATGAGAGGTCCTGAGGGAAACCATCGGGATACTTGGGGGTCCTCAGCGGGTCCCTAGCGGAAATCCTAGGGATCCTTGGAGATCTTCAGCGGACATTGACATTGCGGAAAACACCAGGGATTCGTGGGGATATTGCACAGATCCCGAGGGAAACTCTAAGGATCTCTGGGGGTCCTTCGCGGATCCTCCGGATATTTATCCTAAGGGAGTCCTTGGGGATCTCTGGGGACCTTCAACGGATCTCAGGGAAACCCTAGGGATTTTTGAGGGTTTTTGGGAGATCCCCAGGGGAACCCAGGACCCTAAGGATCCTTTGGGATCCTGAGCGAATCCCTAGGGAAACCCTAGCGATCCGTCGGGACCCTTAGCAGATACGTAGAAAATTCCTGAGGATCCCTGGGGATCCTCAGCGGACCCTCGGAATCCTTCGCGGATCCCCAGGGAAGCGGTTGGGATCCTTGGGGATTTTTCTCGGATCTGTCGAGAAATACATGGATTTGTCACACGTGTGTGATCTTTCACGGCTATCATTATGAATACATTTGATACTAATGACACGCCAGTGAAAACCCAAGGAAACACACATGACAGTCCGTGCGCAGCGAGAGACCTGTAGGAATACGCGCGCACGCCGAGCGTCAGGTGCGTCCGAGAGGCGCCAGCACAGGGATTTGATTTTTCTGTGCGGGGGCATTGGCAAAACAAAAATCGGCATGACTTCCTCGAAAACGCACTCCCGATTTCAAAGAGTCCGGCGAAGCCTTTTCACACAGCCCATCCGACGAAGTTAGAGCCCATCCGGCGGGATAGAGGCAGGAAGAGAGAGCTCATCCGGCTGACATAAGAGCCCCTCCGGCGTGCCGAGTGGATGTTCTTTTTAAAATTCACTCGGTGAGAAAACAGAGTCCATTTGGCAAACGGAGTCCATCTGGCGAAAGAAGATTCCATTCGACAACGCGACCCAATATTTGCAATGCTTTCTGCACGTTTAGCATGTTGATTACAGCCCATCCAGCATTTGCGCGGAGATCCGCCAAACGGGAATTCCGTTCGGCGCCAGACGAGCTCTTTTCGGAAGGGCTGGGCCGGGCCCCTGGGACCCCCCCCCCAGGACACCCCCGGGGACCCCCCCCCCGTGGCGGGGAAGTATTAAAAGGGAAGGGTTCCCCTTCGAATCAATGACAACGTTGATGAATTTCGTTTTCGCTTTGGCATTTCGTTTTCGCTTTGGCTGGCGCGCCTGAGGAGAAGGACCGAGGAAAAGGGGGGACGGAGCGGCGACGACGACGACGACGACGGCGAAGGCGACGACGACGACGAGTCAAACGGAACAGCGTCAACAGCCTCTTCGGTAAAGGAAGCGCGGTGACGACGACGGGGACATTCTCTTCCACACGTCGACAGGGTGTGGAACAGCGTGTGGACAACGACCAAACAGCCACTTGTTGGGACCGACGCCACCAGCCGAAGCTTTTGCACACAGCGGGGTGTGAAAACGAGAGATCCGGTCAGCTCATGTTTGTTTAACGCGTTCTTGGCACAGTTTTCCCGACACCACAATTCCGATTGGCATCGCAAGAAGTTCGGCGCCAAGCGTGGAGAGGCACACAAGACTAGCATCACCACCTTGCGGTTCGCGGACGACGTCCTGTTGCGCGCCCCGGATTTTCAACTGTTCACTCGCTCGTTACGGGACCCACCAACACGGCATCCGATTGCGGATTCTCGCTCCGCCCCGACAAGACCACAGTTTGCACCAACGTTGTGACGCCATGACGCCCCGTGACGCCGTGACGCCCCCAGGTGCCGTGACGCGTCGAAGGATCTCGCCGCTTCGCCGATGCATCCACGATGCGGATCGATGTGTAGTCAGAATATTTCTCCACGCCGACGTCGCCGACGCGTCGCCGACGTGCAGCGTCGATGCATCGTCGATGTATCGGTGGTGCACCGGCGATGTGGCGCGATCCTCCGAACCCATCTACTCGCACCAGAGACAAAAGTACCACTACCACCAGCTGGGGGGGTGGCTGTCCCACCCTCTCGCGCTGGTCGCACCTCGCTCCAGGCATGCCTCCAAAGAGCTCCCAGAAGGAGGTGCCACCGGCTCGAGGGGAGGGAGCGGCCACCCCTTAGTTGGTGGTAGTGGTAGTTTTCAGGGGCAACGATAGGGGGGGGATAGGCATAGGGGATATGCATCGACCCCGAATCGCTCATTGATCGCCAATAGGGGCCCGATAGCCCCAACCTGCCCAGGAAGGTGCGGACTCCCTATCAGAGGCCTATCGCCGATCTCTCGGCGATGTATCGCCGATTCCAGGTCGATGCATCCCCCCCCTAGGCCAGTCCCCCCCTATCGTTGCCCCCAACTGTTGTCTCTTCTGACACTCGGACCCCATCTGGGAGGCCTCTGGACTTGGAGGGCCTCGCGCACGATCCCATCGCAGAGCGCTCGGAGGCGGCCGCCTGTCGCTGCCAGCGGCGGGGGGCTGCCAAACGAGAGTGCCTGCTGATCCGGCGTGGTGCTGCGTGCGGCGGGCTCGTGCGGCGTTGGCGCGCGCCGCCGACGGCAGCGAAGGCGTTCGACGTTCGTCGGCAGGGCCTTCGATCGTTCTCGCGAACCCCGCCCGGGAGTTGCTCGGACGGGGCCAGGGCGAGGATGAATCCGTTCCAGAGCGTTTCGGAACGCGCTCAGAGCGAACGCGCTCGGAAGGCCGCCCGAGGCATCTTCCAGATCCGTTGGATCTCAGAGATTCTCGACTTATCCTTACACGATTTGATCCTCGTCCTGGTTTCGTCTGACCATCTGGCCAAACGGGCACCTTCATCAGGGCCCTCTTGCTCGTTCTTGCGAGCCCCGCCCAGGCGTTGCCTCCCAGCTCCGCTCCTCCCCTCCCCTGCCCCCTCCCCCGCCAGCCCCTGCGGGCAGCAGGAGGAGTCCAAGCTGGAGAAGGGCCGCGCCATCCTCGGGGAGCTGCGGCGGGAGCTGGAGGGCATCCAGAGCCAGCTCGGGCGCGTCGTCGTCAGCGTCGTCGCCTCGTCCCCGTCATCGTCCTCCCATCTCGCCCTCTCCCTCCCCCCTGTCCCACTCCTCCCTCCCTCCTCCGGTCCTCCTACGCCTCCTGCCGCTCATATTCCGCCCTCCACCACGCCCCCCTGCCTCGAGTGGCTTGGGCGGGACGTGCCGAATCTTGCGACCTTGGTCGCCGCTCGAGGCGCCAGCTTGTCCCTCACCGTGCGCCCACTCAGCTTCTGCAGTTCCTCTCAAGAGACGCTGTTCTTGGCCGGTCAGAAATGGACGTTCGGCGAGGAGAGCGCGGGGGGGACCCAGGGCTCGTTTCGATTCCTCCGATTCGATTCGGTTCGATTTCGATGGCTTTCCATCCCGATTGGACTCGACTTTCCATTCCGATTTGGGCTCCGATTCGATCTCTTGATGGAGGCCGTCCAGCCTGCCTATGTCTGCCGATTCGACTTTTCCCGACTCGGCTGCCGATTTCCGCCGATCCGATTCCTTCCGATCGCCGATCCGACCTGTCGATTCGATTCGGGGCCCGCCTGGGCACCGCGCGCGCAGCGCGAGGCTCTGCTTCCACCCGCACACGCCGTGGCTGCAGCGCGTCGAGCGCGGCATCGCGGAGGCGCGCCGGCGAGGCCTCGGGCGCGCCGGGGGCGGCGTCGGCAGCGGGCTGCCGAGTCGGGGGGCGGGGGAGCGGGTCGGGGGGGAACGCGTGGGGCATTTGCTAGAAGAAGGAAGCACGCCATAAGCGTAAACTTTTGGCGTTTGTTCCTCTTCTATTTTCGGCGGGCCTCAGCGGGTTCCTGCCTCGGGGTGCTCTCCAGCGGCCGCGCTTCGCCGAGAGCGTCCTGGGCGTCGTCCTGGGGGCGTGGGGATCCTCCCGAACCCCCGCCGGCGACCCGAGTTATGACGCGCAGAATTGGACGACGAGTTTGGGGGGGGGGGGATGGGCTCAGGGAGGGACGCAACGTACCAGCAGGCTTCCCGGAGTTGTTGGAAATTTCCGGGACCTGGGGTCGTTATCATCAGGTGCGCCTCGCCGAGAGCGTACCTCTAGGCCTCCTAGATGTGGTCGGAGTAGATGGGGTCGGAGGGTCGCGCCGCATCGCCAATGCATCGGCAATGCGGCTCGTTGCGGAGCCCGAATCTCTCCACGCCGACGTCGGCGATGCATCGCCGATGCATCGCCGCTGCAGTGGCGATGTAGTGACGATGCGGCGCGATCCTTCGACCCCATCTACTCGGACCCCATCTAGGAGGCCTCTAGTGCCAGGGGGGCCCGAAACGTCCCGAACGGCCGCCTGAGGCCCGAGTTATGGCCTGAAAGCCATTCGGATCGGGGGCAACGGTAGGGTGGGCAGGCTCAGGGACGGATGTTTCGGCCTCACATCGCATATTGATCCGCGGTAGGTGCTTCCATCGATGTCCCCTCCTGAGCGGGTCCCCCCCTAACGCTCCCCCTCAGCGGTGCGGCATCGGGTTGTCGAGGCTGCCGGGTGTCTTCTCAGGCTCTCTTCGATATGATACGTTCCATCCAGGCGTGTTTTTTGTTTCTCGATTTCGGTATCCTTGGCTTTTTGTCGGGACCCACGGACTGTCAGAAAGCGATCCAGGACGAAAAATTGCCCCCCAGGGAAAGGGTCGGGGGCTGCGCATTCAAAAAAAATAAGAATCATCGTATGTCTGGGTGTCGTTCTCTCTGGGCCTCCGGGGGGGCTTCTCGCCACCTCGGCCGGGTTGCCGCGGAGGTCCTGGGGCGTGAAGGGAAGGGACCCTGGAGGAGACGGGACCCAGATGTTCTTCGTTGGGTTCGGGTTCGCGCAAGAGTGAGCAGGAGGATCCAGCACATCTCTCCATTGACCAGCAGCGAGTTCAACTGAGGACGGGGATGGGTCAGCCGAGGATGAGGATGATAGGAGCAGGAGGAGGAGGAGGAGACTCATCTGCCGTGGGCGGAATGTTGAGAGGCGCGCTGCGCCGCAAGAGTACAGAGCCGGGCCCCAAAGTGGCGCAAGCACCACCGGTTCTTGGAGCCTCTGGCCCGAAGCGCGAGGCGCGGCGGGAGGCGGCAGGGCGGGGATTTGCCCCGCCCAGCAACGAGGAGGCAGGGGGTCCCCAGAGGGCCAGCTCTGGATCATGGAGTGATCCTAACTTTTAATCGAGTCTTCCTTCCCTCCCCCTTTTTTGATACTCCCCTCGTCCCCTCTTCCTCCTCCCTCTTCCAGCTCCTCCGTCATTTTTACTTGTTCCCCCTCCCCATCCCTTCCTTCTCCCGTCTCTCTCCCTTCCACCTTCTCCCTCCATCCTTTTTGTTCACACTTCTGCTGCAACTCCTACGCAGTTATCTCAGCCTGGTGCTCGGTGAAGAGGATTTTGTGTCGGGCGCCAGTCCTGCGGGGGCCCATGGTGCCATTCGTGAGGCCGCGCAGTATTTTTACATCGGCGCCCAAACAGCCACTCTCTGCTGGTAATACTGTCGCCCAGTCGGTGTATCAGCGTGCATTTGTTGGTCCATATATATATATATGTATGGCTGGCACACCCCAAGATCATACATTTTATCTTGAATCGTATTCACGTCCATCATATTCTTATAAATCCTTCCTTTCTCTTCTTCCGTCCTCCCCCTTCTCCAAACACAAGTCCTCCTCCTCCTCCTCGCCCATCCTCCTCCTCCTCGCCCATCCTCCTCCTCCTCCTCATTATCCTTTCCGTTTCCTCTTCTTTGTAGTAACACACAAACAAGAATACAGAGCGTTTGGCGCCCTCGATGTAAGGAAACGTTGCGTATGCTTGTTGTTAGTATGTTTTAGGTTCTTGGGCTTAGGATGCAAGGAACCACGGTGTATGTTTGGTTAGTTTGGGAAGCTCAAGTGCTCCCCGCGGACTCTCCCCCCCTCCCAGCACCTCCTTTCCTTTCCTCCTCCTTGCTGCAAAGCAAGAAAACCAGCTATATACAGTGTTTGGCGTCCTCGTTGCAAGGACACGCTGTGTATGTTCGGTTGTTCTGTTTTTTGGGTCTAGGATGCAAGGACACATTGTGTATGTTTAGTTATGTTGGTTATTTGTGTTTTGGAAGCTCGAGTGCTCCCCGGCCTCCCCCCCAGCACCTCGTGTTTCCTGTTCCTCCTCCGTGTTGCAAAGCAGGACAACCAAACATGCACAGTGCTTGGCGCCCTCGATGCAAGGACATGCTGTGTAATCTTGGTTGTTGTTTTTTGTCTAGGATGCAAGGAAGCACTGCGTATTTTTTGTTTTTTGTGTGTGTGTGTGTTTGGTTTTGGAAGCTCAAGTGCTTCCCGCGACCTCCCCCCATCACATCCTCATTTCCGTTTCCTCCTCCTTGTTGCAAAGCAAGAACACCAAACATACATAGTGTTTGGCGCCCTCGATGCAAGGAAACGCTGTGTATGTTTGGTTGTTCTGTTGTTTGGTCTAGGATGCAAGGAAACACTGTATGTTTGGTTTTTCTGTTTTTCCTTTGGTTTTGGAAGCTCACGTGCTCCCCGCTGCCTCCCCCCAGCACCTCGTCCTTTCCTTTCCTCCTCCTTGTTGCAAAGCAAGAAAAGCAAACATACACAGTGTTTGGCGCCCTCGATGCAAGGACACGCTGTGTATGTGTGGTTTGATTGTTTTTTGTTAAGGATGCAAGGAAACACGGTGCATTTCTGGTTATTTGGGTTTTTCGGTGTTGACGCTCCGGAAGAGAAGAAGGATGTGTTGGGGGGAGGCCGCGGGGAGCACTTGAGCTTCCCAAACCAAAACATAATAACAACACATACGCAGTGTTTCCTTGCATCCTAGACCAACATAACAGAACAACCAAACAAACACAGCGTTTCCTTGCATCGAGGGCGCCAAACACTGTGTATGTTCGGTCCTCTTCCTTTGCAACGAGGAGGAGGAAAGGCAAGGAGGAGGTGCTGGGGGTGAGGCCGCGGGGAGCACTTGAGCTTACAAAGCCCTGGGGAAAAACAATACAAAATAAGCAAACATACACAGTGTTTCCTTGCATCCTAGACAAAAAACCAGAACAACCAAACATACACAGCGTGTCCTCGCATCGATGGCGCCAAACACTGTATGTTTGGTTTCTTGCTTTGCAACAAGGACGAGGAAAGGAACGGAGAAGATGCTGGGGAGGAGGCCGCGGGACGCACTTGAGCGTCTAAAACCCCCCAAAACCAAAATAACCAAACGTACAGTGTTTCCTTGCACCCTAGACAAAACAAGCCAGAACAACCAAACATACACAGCGTGTCCTTGCATCGATGGCGCCATACACTCTGTATTCTTGTTTTTGTTTGTGTTATTACAAAAAGGAGGAAACGGAAAGGATAATGAGGAGGAGGAGGAGGACGATGGGCGTGAGGAGGAGGAATTGTGTTTGGAGAAGGGGGAGGACGCAAGACGAGGAGAGAAGGATGAATACGAAGATGATGAACATAAATCAATTCAAGATACACTGTATGATCTGGGGGACAACCACATCTATCTTTACTTATATATATATACATTGATATATACCTATACGTGTGTGTACGTATATATGTGTGCATCTTATATGTACTTAGATGCACGAGTATCCATATATACATGTATGTAGAATGTTGTGTGGGGCCCATGGAGTACACCCACGGTGTTGAGAGGATCGAGGTTTGGTGCCGCAGTTCTGTTGAACTGTGTTTGAGTGCTCATTCACTGAAAACGCCCACTGCGCTGACGCGGGGACCGAGAAGTTCGAGCTTCGCGAAAGCAAGTCGCTCCAGGGTTCAAGCCGGAGCAACGTTGGAAGATTCGCGCCTTGAGCTCGGCGGACGCGGGAGCGGACAGGGGCAAACGCGGCGCCGTTTCGGGCCGCGTCGGAGGCGTCGGAATGGCGTCGCGACAAAGTGAGGATCGCAACGGGGCAACGGTTCTGGGATGTCCACAGCGGGAGGCTCCGAGCCAAGATGTCGTTGCAAATATTGCTAAACATCTTGTCTCTTACTCGCCGCCGATCCTGCGAAGCGACAAGGCTTCGTCGTCGTCGTCGCCTGGAAGACAGCATTCCAGGGCGACCCGAACGCCAATATCTGTTTTTGTTACTGCGAGGGGTTTCTCGCCTCTCGTCCGCCTGCCTCTCTTGGAGGCAGTTTTGAACCCCAAGTGTGCTGTTCAGGAAGCCCCTAGCGTGTTATTTGGGCCTCGTGGGGGCGTTTCGGAGCCCCCTAGGGCAGTGCAGGGCGCCTCTTGGACTGTCTTGGGGCCGTCTCGGGCCCCGTCTTGAACGCCTCCTGGGAAGCCTTGGGGCCATGTTGGGCTGTCTTAGGCCCTGCGTTGGTTCCTCTTGGGCTGCCTGAGGCGCCTCTTGGGCCTTGTTCGGGCATTTGGAGCCATCCTGGGGCCTTCTTGGAGGACCATGACGCCGTAGTGTGTGGTTTGAAGAACAGCATTACGAATACGATGACAATGGTACTTCCCCGGATAAGTGAGCGATGTTTGCTTGTTGGAGCGTTCTCGTGGGTCCCCTTGGAGCTCTCTGGTGTCGTATTCAGGGTGCCGAGTTTTGGAGCCGCTTTTGGTTGCTTGGACGACCTCGTGCGGGGCTGAAGGCGACTTTGGGGGCCTCGCGGGGCCGTTGCGGGGCCGCTGTGGTTCTTGGAGCCGTTGCGGGGCCGCTGTGGGGCCGCTGTGGCGTCCGGGGGGCCCGGCCTTCCCCCAACCCGCAAGGCACTTGGTCGGATTTGTTTAATCGCTTCGCTCATTCCACCGGCCCTGGAGCCCTCTTTAGGGCCTCTTGGGGGCCTCTTGGGGACCTCTTGGAGTGTCTTGGGGCTCCTTGGCGGCGTCTTGGGGGCCCCCAGGGCCTCTTGAGGCGCTTTTGGGGGCCTCTTGGGGCGGGAGGGGGGGTAGTCAATTGCGGGTCCCCCCTCGGAGACCACGATCCTCGTGAGGGGTGTCGAAAAATGGCTATCCCCTGGAGTGCTCTGGTGGCTTCTCCCGGGACCTTGTCGGGGTACTTTTCGTCCGGGGGCTCCCAGGGGCCGCTCCGCGCGCGCGCGCGAATTAGAAATATTGTTAACCAGTTACATGAGATCTTAGCACGCCTCTGGCCCGTTGGGCCGGCGAATTTGATCGTCCGTAGGTCTGACGCTTCTTGGATGCCTGTCGGGATTCCATTGGGGGCCTCCTGGGAATCTCGTCGATGCCGCGTTGTGTTGCCCCGGGGCTTTCTGGAGGCATCCAGGGGTCCTTTGGGGGTCTTTCGGGTGGCCTCCTAGGGTTTCCTGGGGGCCTCGTAGGGGTGTGCTGGCGGTCTCGGGGGCCTATT